TTTTGTTCTTTCTCTGTTTCTATCTCTATCTACTTTCCTTTCTTACTTTCTTTCACTATCTGCTTCCATTTCCTTCTTTCTTTCATTGTCTTCTTTCCCCCTCTTCTTTCGCTTTTCTTTCTTCCTATCATTATCTGCCTTTCTTTTTTTTCTTACTATTTTCTTTCTTTCATTCCGTAACTAACTGTTTTTCATTCTTTCATTATCTACTGTTCTGTTTTCTTTCTTTTTTTTCTTTCTTTAAATATCTGCTGTTCTTTCTGTCCTTATCTGGTTTTCTTTCTTTCTTTCTTTCTTCCTTTCTTTCTTTCTTTCACTGCCTTCATTTCTATCTTTCTTTTTTATTTATTTATCTCTTTATTTGTTTCTTTCTTTTCTTCTTTCTGTTATGGGTTCCCTCCCTTTTTCATATAAGTGGACTCTACCAGTGTACCTGGACTGCTGCCGTTAAATACCCGGAGTTAGACAGTCAGTGAGGTAGTCGGATAGTGAGAGGGTAGTCGGAAAGAGAGATAGAATATACGAACGGAGTTAGTGTGAGGTAACCTCTTGTAGAAGTCAGTTACAAGCACGTAGACTCTAAGGAAGTCCTACTTCGAGACTGTATATATCTATCTGTATTTGCTACTAATCGTGTTCCTGGATTTACTAACGGTATTACCCTTTGTATGATTGTATAAATACATTTTATTTCTTATATTTAATTATTGCGTTTGTTCTTCATTGGAGACCGAATTCATCTCGAAATCCAAAACACTTTCATTGTCTGCTTTTTATCTTTCTTTCTTTCGTTTTTTTCTTTCTTTTTTTTTTTTTTTCGTTCTTTCATAACATACTTTTTGTCTCTGCCGTTATTTACATAATAGCCTTACCAATCCTTGTTTAATTATTTAGGCACCGTAATGTTATGGTAGACAATGAACTGTTACGTGACATATGTTCTTTTTTACGACAGCGAATGGTGGACGATTTCCTCAAAGATGAAGAATAGACTCGAGGCGACAGAGATGTGGTTCTACAGAAAGAATGCTAAGGATATCACGCACCTAGATTGTGAGCAACGATGAGATCCTAGATTACAAACAAGGCTTATACTTAATATCAGGATTAGGCAGCTGACGTTTCTGAGACACTTAATCAGGAAGGAGGGCAATGGAGAATCTGATACTCACGGGTCAAACAGAGAGAAAGAGAGACAAGAGAAAACAACTCATGACATACCTGGCGGACTTAAGCAAATGGATGACGGAACGTGGTCTGGGGAAGGAAGCAGAGGGAAGAAGTGTTGAGAGCTGCAAGGGATAGAAGGAGGTGGAGAGCCATGATCGTTTACGTCCTGAAACGACATGGCACAAAAAAAAAAGAATGTTATGGTCAACATTCTCGTCTCGCAGATAGTGATTTCAATCACCAGTGAACACCCCTTCAGTGTAATGGCCAAAGAGATTTCATAACCTATTATTATTGCTTTGTCATACGTCTGATGATCGAGGAGATCTGTACACTTCCAGCTTTGTGCCTGACTTGTATGAAATTAATAATTCTTTCGAAGGGTATTATTAATTTCGTTTTGATTTGTTTGTTTCTTTCTTTCATTCATTTATTCTTTCTTACTTTTCTTCCTTTTATTTATACATTTCGTTTCGTTTTGTTTCTTCCTTTTTTTTGTTTATTTCTTTCTTTCATTTATTCATTCTTTCTTTCACTCTTTTTTTCTATTCATTTCGTTTCGTTTCTTTCATTTATTCATTAATTCTTTTCTTCCTTTTTTTTATTAATTTCGTTTTGATTTGTTAATTTCTTTCTTTCATTCATTTATTCTTTCTTACTTTTCTTACTTTTATTTATACATTTCGTTTCGTTTCGTTTTGTTTCTTCCTTTTTTTGTTTATTTCTTTCTTTCATTTATTCATTCTTTCTTTCTTTCATTCTTTTTTTCTATTCATTTCGTTTCGTTTCTTTCATTTATTCATTAATTCTTTTCTTCCTTTTTTTATTAATTTCGTTTTGATTTGTTAATTTCTTTCTTTCATTCATTTATTCTTTCTTACTTTTCTTCCTTTTATTTACACATTTCGTTTCGTTTCGTTTTGTTTCTTTTTTTTTTTGTTTATTTCTTTCTTTCATTTATTCATTCTTTCTTTCACTCTTTTTTTGTATTCATTTCGTTTCGTTTCTTTCATTTATTCATTAATTCTTTTCTTCCTTTTTTTATTAATTTCGTTTTGATTTGTTTGTTTCTTTCTTTCATTCATTTATGCTTTCTTACTTTTCTTCCATTTATTTATACATTTCGTTTCGTTTCGTTTCGTTTTGTTTCTTCCTTTTTTTGTTTATTTCTTTCTTTCATTTATTCATTCTTTCTTTCACTCTTTTTTCTATTCATCTCCTTTCGTTTCTTTGTTTCATTAATTCATTTATTTTTTCTTCCTTTTTTTCTTAATTTCGTTTCGCTCTTTTGTTTTTTTTTGTTTCTTTTTTCATTTATCCATTCTTTCGTTTATTCATTCTTTCTTTTCTTTCTTTTCACTATTCATTTCGTTTCGCTTTCTTTCTTTCTTTCTTTCTCTGATTTTTTTTATATGCTTCATTTGTAACTTCAAACCCTCTTTCTTACTTCTTAAATTGAACATTTTTAAAACGTCTTATTTTCTATGCTTTTCATTCAATTTCTTTCTTTGCGTCTTCATATCCTTCCAAGAATATCAATAATGTTTTATTCTTTCTTTCTTATATACAATATTCAAATTACGCTTCACTTCCTTATCCGCTCATCAAAATGGCGCAATCATTACAATAGAAAGTCCTTCCCAAAGGAAAAGGAAAAATAAAATAATTATCCGAGTAAGGAAACAAGAATTTCCCAGAAACACAAGATTTGCAGAATCTCTGTGGCTATCATTCTTCCAAGATCAATAAATTGTTAACTCCATCTATTCACTATAATGATAAAAATTACTCTATAATTACTATATAATTTACTGTAATTATTTCATTGCTATATAATTCACTATAATGATATAATTGCGATATAATTATTATATAATTCACTATAATGATTTTCCATTTTTATTATTAACTAATACATTATCTATATATATATATATATATATATATATATATATGTGTGTGTGTGTGTGTGATATTCAAACAATATATATATATATATACATACATACATATATATATATATATATATATTTGTGTGTGTGTGTATGAGTGTAGATGACTATATATATATATGTGTGTGTCAAAAGTATATAAATATAAATAAATATATTTTTATATATGTATAATTCTTTATATATTATATGCGTTACTTATTAGAAAGCGCTCAATATCAAACCCTTCGAACGTAACATATTTGGTTGAATAGATGTGAGTTGTGACCTAAGTTTGTCTGACGATCGCTAAATGCGTAGAAACCTATCAAACGATCTCTGTCCAGTAATCAAATATATATATATATATATAACAATATGTATATATATTTGAATACAATGAGTTTTAAAAAGATCGTCAGACAAACGTTTGTCTTTTCAAAAGATCGCATAAGCTCATTCCGACGCTCACAAAGATATATCATTCTGTTATTAAATTATTTCCTCTATCACTGATTCTTTTGCGCCTTCCAATAAACACCGCCCATATAATTCTGTTTCGCAGAATATTCCTATATATATAAAATATGGATGTGTGTGTATAATTATTTAATGATGATCATCACACTCTATTCAAATGGTTTCACCAAAGACCTCCCTTCTTTTCTTCGCGTTCGATACTCTATCATGACATCTCTTCTCGACAAGCCATACACGGTATTACATTACTTTATATATAAATTATACAGCTGATGGTATTATTATATAATTATAACGAATTATATAGTAATTATATAGTATTTATATGGGCACGTGGCTGAGTGGCTAGAACGTTCGCATACTGATCATGAGAGTAGGGTTCGAATCTCACCGTGGTCGATTTGTCAGGAAGTCTCCTTCCTGATGTTATCGGACTAGAGGGGTTCGAAATTTTGGAAAGTGCCTGAAAACCATACCACAGGTTGACCCAAGCCTTGTGAATGAAATTGGGTAGACGGAACACATGATAGCACAAAGTCACAAGTCCTCGTGACCGAGGGCTTCAGTGTGCTGGCCTTGTTTAAATTGTTGACGACGTTAGATAACACGCTCTCTCCCAGAAACTGTAACTAAGGTCTGCTCAGCATAGTTGCAGTATAAACAACAGGTGGGCTCTTTGGGTATTGATTAAAAACAAATGAAAACAAATATGCCTGAGCAAACGTCTGTAATAGGGATTGACTAGCCACCCTAGTAGACAGGTATCCTCGAATACTAGTCGCCAGCTAAACATACATTTTTTTAAGCGTTTCACCCCAAGCAAAGCGGGAAGCCACTAGGACGCAAGGGGTTACAGAAGATTTGGAGCGAGAGCAGATAGGAGTGATAGACGAAAGGATGAGGAGAAGGATAGTGGATCAAGGCCACTGGAGATGTCGATTGACATTACACTTGAATAGTTGGAATTATAGCTCTCAGGGGAAACTGGAATAGGAACGAGTTCTACAGGCGAGAAGGTGCGAGAGATATAAAACTATTGGAGTAAGAAAGGCGGCTACATTTAACAGTTTCAACAGTGAAAGGGTGAAACATAATGCCAGCCTCGTAGGGGCGCTTGAATTCATGAAGTCTTTTTTCATGTCTTCAATCCTCTCCATTTTCAGTTTTCTCGCTCTCTTTTCGCTTCTAGCCCTCCAGCCTTCTAATGGCATCTCGCCTTGCTATTTTAAAAAAACACCATATCAGCAATAATTTCTCTTTTGAATATATTAATAAAGTCAACAAAAGGCCAGTGATCGCATAGATAAAAGGAAATCTTCCAACAGCCTCCTCTAAGATATATGACTGATAAAAGTCGTGTTTTGTTGAATTAAAAAAAACGACACAAAAACATTGAAAGCGAATGTGAGGTAAATGAAT